ATGTTCTAGTCACAATGCATTCAGACTATTACTATTACTGTGTTACGGACAAACAAAAATGCAAGTCATACTAGTCAGAAACATTCTCAAACATCCCCAAAACTATGGTTCTTTTAACAGTTAGCTTATCTAAAAGGAAAAACTTTTATTTCTCCCTCCCCAAAGATGGCGGGAGAGTGTATTTTAGACAAACCTTGCCAACAGGAACATTCTTAACATCTTCCACAAACACAACTTCTCTCAGAGACCATTGCTCTTCATTTACCTTCTCCTCCTCTTTTGGGGCAGGAGTAGATCGTCGACGTTCTAAGACAAAAAGGTAATTACCAAAAAAAAAAAAAAAAGACTTGAAATATTTAATCAAAGCATCCAAATACAATGTTCAATAAACACCAAACCTTTCTCCCCTCACCAAAAAAAAAGATTGTCAGCATTCATATCTAGAAACTAACAAGAGTTTAACAAGAATGTGACTTTAAAACCACTTATAAAGCCTATCTAATAAACAAAGCAATTTTTAAGCAAATAATTAGAATACGAGAAATTTCTTCGGCAAGGCTCAGATATTCGTGCTGTAAGTAACAAGGCTGACATTAGAACACCCTCCATTCAGCCCTGCTACAGTTCTTTATATCACCCTTACAAAAAGTCTGCTTGTCCACTACATATGGATATTTTGGTAAACATCTAGAGTAGCAGCAAATGAGGCAGAAAATAGCTACTTGGGCTAATAGCAATTGCAATACAGTTAAATTTGTTGCAAAGACATTATCTCAACAGTAACTGTAGTACACTCAGGATCACATTTAAATATGTAACATGGCTAAATTAACACTAACAAGAACCTTTAATCTCCTGATTAAATCGAGTATATAATTGATATTATCAACATATTTAAAGTAAGAAGCAGAAAACTTCTAACTGTGAAGTTAACTTCAAATAGCAGTTCAAACTCCCAAGGAAAGTTACAGTCAGTGAAAAAATGCAAAAGAGAAGAAATCAGTAGCAAAAGAGTCTCCAAGCAGAATTAATTAGTACTGCAGATCTAAGCATGAGATTCTCAGTTGCTGAACGAGGCCATTTGATTCTCTAGGTGAGCACTTCTTAAAACTGCAATATGCAATCAATTAGAAGAAACGGGCAAAGAGAGAAGATTTCTTCAACTGATAACCCTTGATAAATTAACCCTTGATAAATGGGGTTTAAATAGAGAAAAAAATGTCATAAAAGGTTAGTTGCATTAATTTTAACAAAGCCTTTTAGGCATTTAAGTGCAACTTGTACTATAAAACATCTCTCACTGCTTTTGTGTGTTACTGAAGACTGTTTAGTCTTAGACATTTTATGTAATAGATGACAAACTACTGCTTTATGCACTGAAATTCCCCTGCAAGGCAAGCTGTGCAACAACAACTTAATCTTAAAAGGAATCTTCCAAAACAAGTCCAACTTCTGAGCTGTAAAAAAACCTCACTATCACATTGCAATTAAACATTAAAAACTTTATCTTCAGACTTTCTCTTGATCACCTCCTGAAAGATACTTTTGATTCTGAGAATTGTTATGCTTTTTTCAGATACACCTTACCTTAAGCAGTCACTGCTTATGGTAACATATTTAAAATTTAACACTGACAATCCACTGATTATCTAAAGTCTATTACAAAAGCCTCTACGTATATTGCAGTTCAGACTTAAAGATTGAAAAGCATTCTGAAATTACTAGTACAGAGTCTTTGTAAAGCTACCTTTTATGAAAGCTTCTTATCTATACAAATATTTTATGTTACTATGAGCTACACATTACTTACTATATGGCATTGATGCACTGCTTGCTATTGAAGATGCATCACTACAAGTGGAAGCTGGGGATGGCGGAGGACCCATCTCAGTTTTCACTGGTTCCTGTTTGCTTTCAGGTCTACAAGAAAATGTGTTACTTAGAAGGATGAAAGAGAAAGGTGAAATACTTTCCGTGACAACGGACAAAGTGTCAGTGTGCCATGCTCCTTTAATAACACTTTAATGAAATAACTCCATACTTGTGAACAACCATCCTAACTGACAAGGATACATCTGGTGTTGGGAATGGTGCTATGCTGCTTAATCAGGGATCAGCTTTATATCATTACCTGAGCATACATAGAATATTACAGAAAATAAACATCTTTAAATGTGCTTCATTTGAAGAGAGGAAGAATTACTAGCTTTATACAGGAATCTGAAACTCTAGAACTGCCAACAAGCTTTTCTTAAAACTGTTTAAGTTTGGTTTAAAAAACATTTAAATGTCAACTGTCTACCCAATGATTCCCCCCCCCCACTCCAAACTATGAAGGTGCTGAAACAGGTCCCTGAATGCCATGAAGAAGGGCCTGAAAAGAGTTAGTTCTGTAATAAAACCACTTTCAGTTATTCAAATATAAGGTCTTAGAAACTTTATGAAACACCGCAGGAAATTATTTAATATTCCTTCTGCATTTCACATTTCCATATTGTTTTCACACAACTGAGACGCCTTTCCTGCAGTGGGCATTTCTGCACATTTAGCAGAGTTTAGAAGAAAGCCGGAATTTTACAAATAAGGCAAAAAATTAAAACTGATAAAAATGTGACCTTCCTTCTTTTCCATTTTTAATCAAACACCATGTCAAGAGAATATCAAACAGATGTTCTGTGTGTATGCGTGCATGTTCTCAACACTTACTTTGCCTCAGTAGTTTTGCTAGCTTTCTCCATGTTTTTCAAGCTCTCAGGCGAGCGAAGCTGAAAGCGACAGCTGTCATTCATGTTCCAGACAGACTCCATTAACACACCCACTTTGGGAATTCCAGCACTGATTGAAAAAGCAACTGCTCCAGCATGATAGAGGGGGTTATTTCTTAAACACACCTACAGATAGAAATATTTATGTCTAGGAGAACGATGGATAACATGGAGGGAAATCATACATGTGCATTTTCTTGGTGACATATGTAGTAGTCAAAAAATAAGAAAAACTAACGGAACCAGATGAAGAGGAAAGTTGGCAAGATGCACTCTGCACTTTGCTAGGAAAAAAGAGGCTGTTGTGCAGCTCACTGCTAGGAGCAACAGCTTTAGCAGTGCAACTGTTTACATACAGTATTAAAAATGCTCAACCACAAAAGGAACAATTCATCCAATAACTAAGTCTCATCCCAGACAGAGTTGGTTAGAATGGATTGCAAACCAAAAGAAATACGCTCCCTGGGAAGAAGCTGTTTTGTCTCATACTAGTTTTAACACTCATCACAAAAAGAATCCTACACCTCTATCACCTATAAACCTTTTAGTAAAGGCTTCAAACCAACAGCCTATCCCACTACATAAATAAATCAAACCCAGACTCTAACAGCATAGGCACTTAAATCCCAAGTCATTTACGAAGCTATGTGCTCTACTGAGAATCGTATTTCTGTACTTTCAAAATACAGAATCAGTAGGTAAGTTAAAATAGAAGTACTTTGTATGACTACAGCTTGTTCCTCCATGTGTGCAGCAATAATCATACTTGTAAAACACCACCACCTTTAACAGGACACATCAATTTAGTCATATAATTAAAACATAGTACTTGAATTCCATATTATTAATACAACTTTTGTGCATAACCAGAATAGAACCTAATTTGTTTCGTTTTGTTTGTAAGAACAGGTTGTAAGCTCATCATATAGCACTGTAAAGATGCCACTTGTGACAGTCACACTTGCCTGGGTTCCAACAGTTATGTTTGGCATAGAGGAGATACCAGCACTGGACTTCGGCTTTTTATTTTTTGCTCTGGCCTTTTCTAGCATTTTCTTCCTTTGGCTGAAAGGAACTACACCCCTGTGGGAAAACACATTTTTTAAAATGCTATGAAAGAAATGTTTTCTTTGTAACTTTGAACAGCTTATTCCTTCTGCTTAACATACATACAACTCTCTGCACCACCTTCTCCAAGATCTCAAAGCACTGTAGAAAACACATCTTTTTCTATATTCACCCCTACTTTCCAAATTTATCCTCTCGGCTGGCCAATTTATGAGGAGGAGGAAGCAGGAAATCCTGTAAGATATGTCACTGCCAAATGGCAGTTCTAGTCCAAAATGCTTTGAAACCTCTTTCAGAAGGTGCGCTCCAGTCACAGCTGGCACATTGCAGGTTATCCCCTCTGAAGTTGAGGGTATCTTTCATATGACTAGTGATAATTTCCAGGATTTGGAGTAACCGAGGAACAGGATAAGCTTTTTTATATTTAAATTTTAAAAGGCTCACTTTCCCTCTGGAGAAATGGCTGAAGGAGTCTAGGACTCTTATGACAGGCTTAAGCTGCAGGAGGGGAATAAAAGGACACTTCTTTTGTAATTGGATCAATTCAGTTTAGCTGAAAATAACGCCTACGAATACAGTTAAACATGCTCATTATTTTGATACTTCATGTTCTAGCCAGTGGGTTATAGTGTTAAATGCTTTTAGTGAAAACCTCCATCATGTTAAGTAAAACATGAAAAGCATCAGTCCTGTGTGATGCTGGAAACTGAAAACCTGTCCAGTGCACCACAGACCACTGTAACTGAGGACAGTTACAGTAACAGAGGCTTCTGTATAAAGAAAATGCTGACATTTAACCCTTCACAGAAAGGACATGTTGGTTAATAAATCCATTGCTTTCAAAGATTACATATAAATGCTAATAAGTCTTTTCATATATTGCACCAATTATTCTAAAAGCAGTAAAAATGGCAGGTTCTAATAGCCAGGTATCTTCAATGTTATGTGGCTTGTTAGTTTTTATACTAGGAGTACTCTGAGGTACGTCAGCCATGACATAATGAAAGGGTCAAGAACCAGCAAGCTGTAATTTTGAGATTTGAGTCTAGAAGTTAGAATAAAATATGTCTGTGTTTAAGTTTACAGGCCAAGCTACAACTCTTACTTAAATATTTTCCAGAGAGTTATTAGAATTTAATTTAAAAGTTGTTTTATAGAATCAATTTCCAGTGCTCTGATTTCCAACTTGTCATCAAGTATTTAACTCATCCGTGTCTAAAAGCTACTTGAGCTTTGGGCATAATATGTAATGCAATGACTCCTGACAGACTGACAAAAATAATCCTGACAATGAATTAGTAATATTCAATTAATTCACTCAAATCAAAAGTTCATTTCAAAGCTCTTTTGGAAATGTTATTTTTGAGGGTTGTTTAATTGTTATTTTTAAATAGCTTCTTAATTATAAAATTTTTAGTCGAAAAAATTTCACCAACACAATTCTATGATTCTATGCTTTCATATTTTGCAATGCTTAAAAGTGTTACATTCTAACTGCAAGCTCCAGAGGGAACATCTGATGTTATTTCTCCCTTCTTTGAGATTTGGATCACAAACTAACAGGCCAAATTTTCCTAACAGAGCCTAACAGAAGAATGTAGACCTCATACGTGGGTTTGTTCCATATTTATAATCTGAAAAAGGCCTGAAAGGCATAAAGATTATTCTCTCATACTGCGTAGTGCTGATATCTGCATGCTAAAGCATTTATGCATATCTCCTAAAATGATAAGCTTATTCTCTTAAAAACGGTTTAACTGAATCCAAAAGCATTAGGTGTTAAAGAAGAAAACAAACAGACTTTAAAAGGGGAACCTAAGCTCAAGTGCAGAGTTACAGGATCAGAACAACTATGGTTCAGGAGCTTTGCAACACTTCTCAGAGCCAAGGACATGAAGACATCCAGTGGATCTACACTGCTGTACATAAACACAGTACTTACTTACCACCAATATAAGTTGTTCTCCAGCTGAGCACACGTGTAAAGAGCACAACAATGTAAAGAAACAATCCGTTCTCCCTGAAGCTCTGAGTACGTCTGTGCAGTGTGTTCTAATTTAGAAGCTACGGAACTTAAAGTTTCATCTACCCACGTAGCAACCTAAGAGAGAAGGGAAGAATGGAACACAGAAGGTGGGGGGGGGGGAGAAAAAGAAAAGTTGGATCTTAGTTGCACCTTTAATGTAATATTTTAGAAAGTGAAAAAATAAAACAAAACCCAAAAATCCCCACAATGATTCCCTTTGAGATCTTATTCCCTACCACTTTTTCCTTCTCCAGAGAAGAGTTTTTCAGGGTTTTTCCCCCTGTTTCCAGTCCCAAATAATAATAAAAAAAAAAGGTAAAAAAATACAGTGAGGTGTCAAAAGCACTTCAACAAGTGCAAATACTTTACCAAATCAGTTTCAACTTCACTCTTAATGGGGCAGAAAAGCATCTTTAGGTAACTTACTTTAGAGCACTGAAAGCTTCGATGCCCTCAGTTTTTCTAGTAAATTTATATCAAAAATTAACAAGCGTCTGTACTCTTAACTAGTATCAGTTTCTACTATAAGAGCAAAATGTCAAGTATTTCAGATAATCAGGTAAAAGAGAGTTATTTTCACTGTTTCAGCTGTAAATCTGCCACATTTCTTTTTTAATCTTTTTGCATCTTTTACAAAAGACCAGTTGGGTTTTCTTTTTTTTTTTACGTCTGTATAGAGGAAATGCAGTGGAATGAATGAACGAATTAAGTACTCTCTACTACTGGTGAAGAAGAAGAATCAACTTCTCCATAATATACCACAAGTAACTGAAAAAAAAAACCAGCTTTGTGAAATTCAGCAATCAGCATACATCTCATACCTTGTTATTTTCAGTGGCAACAGTTGCTCTAATACTATTTGCAGAAAGGAGCACTATCTTTTCATTGCTTAATCCCAAGAACATGGCTCGTGGATGATGTAGCGATGGGTTCTTTGAAAACAAAAAAATATTTTAGATAGTCACAGCATATAAATGAGAAGGCGAGCATTTAAAAATGTACAGTACCTGTGCATTTCTGTAAGGCTCTGATTCACTCCACTTCCACTGATAGAGTTCTCCTTTACTGCTAACAGCCACGAGCTCAGAATACAGAGCTCCGATAGAAATAAACTTTGTTCCATCCTACAAACACAGAAGTACAAAGCCTAAGAACAGCAGTATTATAAATACATACATAAAAATATATAAATTTAAAAAATGGACTTGTAACTTTTTTTTTCAGAGCTGCCACGAATGTTTAACTTGAAAATAAACGATATACCCAGCTTGTCTCAAGATCAGAATGCCCTCAAACACACATACAAAAAAGCACCACTGCTTCTGGCAGAGTGAGGGAAGCAAAAAAATACATATACTATTTTCCTGAAGTTTAGCAATAAAATATACAAGGCAATTAACTTGGATGGTTTATTAAAAGCTTCCATTTTAAGAACACGACACTGCTCATGGAGATAAAGACGGGAAGATCTCTTGACTACTGACATTTAAAAGAGTTTCCATCTAAAATTCTGTTTTTCTGAAATTAACAAAAAAAGCAACATAATTCCATTCTTTCATTCCCAAGTGTACACATGAAAATATCTTCCAATTACCTGAGAAATCAATTACCAAATTCAATGCCTCATCAATTAAACAATTCTTATCTTTCACTTCTGAAGGTAACTAACTGCAAGCAAGATCAAGTTCAAAATCAGTGTGCTACATGTCACATTAATGCATCATTATGATCTGACACGCTGGAAAAAAACCCTGTAATTATGGGTTATTCCACCCTTTTCTCCTTTTTAACATTTTATCAAAACACATACAGCATCTTTCTACTCCTGAGACAGCACCACTTTGCTCAACTGCTTCACCCCATACCTTACCTGGATCTCAGGGGCCTGTATCCTGCCTCTGAGAGGTGATTTTGTATCAGTGTTGCAGCAACTACACAACAGATACAATCTTGCTTCCTGCAAGTCCCTGTTCCCCCTTGCACTGACTTGCTTCTCAAACTACAGACCTATGAATTCGAATGATTTCACAAAAAAATTGCTTCTGTTTACTAAGAAACATTTGTAAGGCCCGTCCATTCACCACTCCTTAGCAAGTGCAGCAATAGCACAACCACGTTCTTTCCAAACTGGTTAAAACCAAAAGTTCCCTTCCACTTAAGGGAGAACACAGCTTTAAAAAAAAAATAAAATGAAGAAACAACTTAAACTGGTATAAAATGAAATGCTGTCTTCAACAGCTACAAATCTGAAAAGACAGGTGTCTTCTCTGTAGTAGTTATCTCCCTGATCAGTATCTTCAGCTGCTTCTCTTAGATCCAGCAACACAGCACAGAAGTAGCAAGAATGCAAATCTGTGTTACGATAAAATACTTGCCATCGTACAAATATTGCATATTCTGAGAAAGAATTGCCATCAAAACTTACTGTAGTCTAATGAGGTGCATCTCCACATCATAAATGAATCTTCAGAAATTATCTGGCCTAATGCCTCAAAGTATGGAAAACAATTTTTGCTCCAAGACAGTATCAGTATGACTTAATCTTGCTAATACGTTTTACAACTTTTTATAAGCCAAAGCTCACAAGCTCAACACCAGACACCTGTTATTCAAAATTTTTCTCTCCCTTCCATCCAACTATTAGCAGTTGTGATCTAAATGCTACAGAAACCAACGCTACATACACCTCCGTGAGGCCATTCAAAAGACTAAGATGCACAAAGATGTAACCGGACTCTTATGTGTTCAAGTGTAAATTCTCACTTCAGGGAAATTACACACTCAAAGATAGTGCAAATTGCTGACAAAATCTTAGTATCTCAATAGCTAAAGAGAATATACCTACTTGGAACAAACAAAAGGCTCAGCTTGCACCTAGCTACAATCTAGCAGGGAAATAAAAACAGTTATACTATAGAATGGCTGATATGTGTGGCGTAGTGCTGATACATGGCAGTGTAGACCAATAGCACTACAGTCCAACAAGATTTGAACTATCAGAATAATTCATTGACTTGAATTCTTCAGCAGTTGATTTCAAATATTTGGTGGACCTATGCAACAAGTCTCAACATCATTAATCTCAGATTGTGGGTGGAATTGATGCATTTTGGAACACAATCAGCTTTCCAAGTTTCATCCATTACTCTCAGGTTGGTACTTCCCATAAATGCAAGTTAACCATCCTCATAATGGACTACTACAGTTCTGTTTCAAATGCTAAACACCAAAATAATGAAAGCTGAAGGAAGAATATTTGCAAAAAATATTGGTTATTTTGTACTGATTCTTTATATACTTTAATCTCTCCAATAGCTTAGTGTCTTTCTCATTAACATCTCATGATCTGCTTCCCAATTTTCAGAATGGAAGAAACATATGAACTGCCCTCTCAGCTAAATCACCTCCTTCAGGATTCATCCTGAAGAACTTATTAGAAAATACCACAAACAACATTTCACAGCGGGGCTATAGCAAGAAAGATGCACACAAATTTCTTATGAATGTTCAGCTGAAGGACAGGATGAAAAGTTGAACTAACTTCTGGATACAGATCAAAGTCCTTTTCAGTAAGACACCTTCATTTAGCTGGAAGTTACGGTTTATAGGAGTGTGTATGCAAACAGGTATCTTGGAAGAAGTTCAGCATATTAAAACTGAACAAGCATCGAATTAGCATAGCAAGTTAATTCCATAAAAGATGCCCAACAAAAGACTGCAGTAACTGTCCTAGGGCAAGATCTGCTGAGTTTGCAAATGACAAAAACCCATCCAGGAAAACAAAACAAAACAAGACCCCACAAACCACCTCATTTCATAACTAAGTTTCAGACCCAAAGAGAAGAACAAAGTTAAGAGGAAAAACATTCCCAAAGCAGTAAAAAAACCAAAAATAACAAAAACCCACACGACAATAATAACAGCCGTAATAATGTTATCAAAACACAGCAGTGGAAATAAAAAAGATAAGTTGGTATTCCAAATCTAAACGATATCTATGCTTTGATGCTAAAACCCCTGAAACTTCTCTCTACCAAAGCCAGACGACTCTCTCATTCTACCATTATGACAAAGCAAGGGGGACAAGAGCTGCCCACCTTCACTGACACAGAAGTTCAACATTACCAGCCGAAAAAGTAAAATTCCGCTTTGGACATAAAAGGTCTGGCTAGGAGTAACTATCACATAAACACTCTTTTTAGGTATCTTCATTTCTCAGTTTGAATGTCCAAATGAAGATGACAGCAGCTAAAGGTGAGCTGCTGTAAGCAGAAAGAAGCCTCTAAATTCACCTCCCTCTCCAAGCTCTCTATCTATATTTAGTCTGAAAGGAGAAAACAGAGATGTAGAAGAAGAAAGTGCGACATATCAAAATAGCAACCTCACCGATGCTGCAGACAGACAGAAATGGGAACACTAGAAAGATACTCAAAGTCCATAAAATTTGGTCTAATAAACATCACTTCCATTCCTGAGAAGTTCTCAGGTTGTTTGGTTTGGGTTTGATTTGTTTTATTCTTCAAAGTCATTTCCCCAAGCACCTAGGTAATTCATAAGGAAAATGACCACAGGCACCCGGTTCGCAAAATATAGCTGGTGTTCTTATTATTCTTGTATCTCATGTGGGAATGACTTCTTGCCTCCATTTTTTGTTACAAAGAAAACCAACTAATCAAACCAAAAGGATTCTGAAGGAGCAACCAATACTCATTGAAGTTATTGCTCAACTCAAAACACAACTGTAAAATAATGTCAACTTCCACCTGAAAAAGGCTGTTAGACTCAAACAAAGCAAGTATCTCTGGGGATAATAATGTCAATCAAAAAATGTCTCCTTGATAAAGGATAGTTTAAATTGTTTCCTGAGTTTCCTATTGCCTATTAAATGCTTTGAGCACCTAAGTAAAAAAAGAAAGAAGAAAAAACCCAAACATCATGATCTACAGCAGTGTCTCCAAAACACATGTAGAACAAAATTAACACAGTAGTAACAGAAGTGCAGCTATAGGGGTGTAACTAGTAATTTATAGTTTTCTTAAGTGCATAATAAAGAATATGCTTTATTACATTATCTGACACAGAAATGTGATATTTAAAAAGGAAACAGAGTCTTTATTTGGAAAAAAAAATAAACAGACCTATCACACAGCATGCAAATAAAATAGTAAAAAAAAACAACCTTACCTTATCTGGCCACCACTGCAAGTCTTCTCCTAAAGAAACAGGGCTCTGAACAGGTGTATTCTTCTTGTCCAGGTTTGGTTCCCCCTCCTTACTTGTGGAGCCTCTCTCATTATCAAATGAGGCTCCATCGAGCCACCTTCGTTCACGCAAACGTAACACGGACTCACGTTCACGCAACAGTTCAGAGTCTCTCTCTAAGGGAAGAAGGAGAACTGGTATGCAATTGGGTCACACCAGTGGGATAAAAGTAAGCCACTCTCTAGTAAAGACCCTTCAGGATGCAACTAACAGCAGTTAAATCTACTCACACAGATTAAAAGTAACGTCCTGACATGCAACATTCAATGTATTAACCCTTTCAAGCGTATGTACTTTAGAATTACTAAACACAAAAATAAGCTAGAAATAAAGAGGTCTTACAGTTCTGTGCACTACAAAAAGATGCTAAAGCATTTCGTTTTACAACATAGGAAGCCAAATACATTTAACATTGAAATTTAAAGTTTTATAGTACAATATGCAGTGTTGTAGTATTGTTTTATCAGTGTAGTAATGATAACAATTAAAAAAACAATCAAAGTCTAGATAGTCTACTAGGTATCTTTATGCAAACCAAAAAAGAGTATTTATTAGAGAGTTTCATAGCAACTTTCCCAAAAAAACCCCGGTAATTTGAAAAGGTTAAAGAAAGCAAGAATTAAAAAGAGCTCTCGTATACATGTTTGATAATCCAACCCCTTTTGTTTAAAGCAATATTCCACAGGACTGGATTTAATAAATTAAAGTGTATCTGTTTTGAGTAGATCAAATGAAAACTTTTCAAGAGTCAGACAAGTTTTACAAAGGATCCTTGTAGGAAAATGTTCCTTACCAAAATGCTTCCCCTCCAATTGGCCTACAAACTGTCTAAAGCCAGTACTCTGCAGTTCGCTCATGCAGATACATTTTTTTAAATCAGGGAATCAAACTAACTTTCCAAGAGTCAACTATGAATAGAAAATAAGGATTATAAAATTCGTGGTACCGTCTTACATAGAATAACCTTAGGAAAGGAAAAAAAAGGAGGAATTTAGAAGGAGTTATGTTAGATGCTGAATATTTGTACATGCACATAATGCATTTAACCTGCTACGTACTACACTTATGCTCACAAAAATCAACTGGAATTACATGTACAAGATGACCACATCATTATATCAGAGTTCCAACAAATTACACCAAGTTTTGGGTCTTTTGCTGTATAACAGGAACTTATGTGTTCAGCAATTAATATGTTGAAACATGTTCATGAAAGGCAACAAAACTGTACTAAGCATACAATCACAGCAGAGGTTGGATTAACAGTTTGGAAATACTCTAGACATTTGTGCAACAGCTTCAAAAAGACAGGAAATTGCTGCGTGGTCTTTTAGAAGTCTTTTAAATATAATATGCTTTACCAAAAAAAGGTAAAATGCCTTAACACTGCTCAAGGAGGTTTTTTTTATCAGCTGCCAATAGTTCTCCTTATCCAACTATAAAAATGCTTCCAAAAAGTAAAATTTAAATTTCTTAATATCGAAAGATATTAATAATATCCTTAATATCTAAAGTTCCTCATTCCATAAAGGTAATTTCTGTCATGGAACAATTGAGGAAATGTGAAGAACAGTGAACAAAGAGCGACCCACAGGAAATTAAAAAAAAAATTAAGAATGCTGCATGTCACCACTTGTTACTCATTTTTAAGCCAAATTAAATATTTGTAATGTAATCTATGTACTAATAGGTACTTACGCTACAGTTTAAAATAAACTTAACATGCAAAAAATTTTATAACATCTTGCAACACCAATGATCAACAATTAAATTTAAAATAGATGACTACAAAATTTCTTGCAGAACTTACCTGCTAAAATTCAGAATTCATTAATAATTTTGATAATGAGTAACAGTCTATTTGTCTACTCTATATCTGACAACATATCACAGTCTACTTTCGCATTAAATCAGAATCTAAACCACCAGTGTGTACCATTACTAGCTTTTTCCACATAAGACTACTTATTACAAAGAAAAAAGGTGCAAAATTACCTCTGGATGAGCCTAGCCTGGAAAGTGATGAGCGCCGAAAGGATGGATAACCAAAGTAACTAATATCTTCTGAAAACATAGCATCAGCATCAATAATGACACTTGGGTGAGCAGAATGTATGTCAGCATCCAGAAGAGACATAAGATCCTCTATAAGAGGAGACAAGGGTCTTAAGTGAATAATCGGCTACTTAAAACATCAGCTAGAGAGACCAGCAACTAAACAAGTATCAAAACAAAACAAATCCTATCTATTAATTGAATTTCTGCTCTTCAGATTCACCAGTGCAAACTCATGCGCCTCCTATCCAACCACATTTACAATCAAGCTTGGTGGACTGGTGAAAAAAACCACTTTTCCCTA